CATTGAGGCCGGCTAGATCAGGCATGATCACAGCTGTAACAAGTACAAGTAAAGTACTCTTATTATTGTGCCCAGACGGGCGATAGAAAAGGAAGGGTGGATGCTTTGCAAGCCCCTGCCCTGCATCCATCCCTCGATGGAGCACACGCTGCACACCCTCGTTCATAATGTCGAACGGATTGCAGTGTCTAAGCACAGCCTCTTCCATTCTCTTTTCTAAAATCCGTTTTTCAGTGTTGCATGAAGGGTTGTTGCCCTCGGCATTGTAGACTTAGACTAGAATATAATCCCCTCAAAGCCCTAGAATAGGCGTGCATAAATGGGTACAGCAGGGAAGACAGATCAGAGACATGGGTGGCTGAAGTGATAATTTCTGACTTATTTGCCGTCATCAGCCAGCCGAGGCTCCAACCCGCGACCTGCTGATTACAAATTTAATGTTCTACTCACTGAACTACTGGATCTTCGCCCTGCTGGTTGCAGTCGTGTATATTAACAGCGGTAGAAAGGAAGGCCGGGAGAACAACTGTTTTGTCCTCTCTTTAGCCAGTCGTGCCACTGACTACTAACTACCACTGGTCGACGGCACTCATGGCCGACAGGGAAGGACAGACAGACTTCTGCCTCAGTACCATAAAATCGAAATTCACTGGTGCCTTCTTATAAAACAGAAATTTATTCGCAGCAGTTAGACCGTCGATTCCAAGGCGGTCCACCCTGTGCCCATTAGCAGAGCGGACGTATGGGTGGTTACTTGCGCTGCCTCTCACACACTCCTTCCGCCATCTCGTGGGCCACGAAAGAGTCACAGGGACTGGAGGCATGATTGGATACAGTGAGACTGACAGATCTAAACATTCCGACAACGTGTGTCACATGCCTTGTTCGCAGCCGCCTGCTCGATCGCCATGTGACGCCCAGGTAAATACTATAGTCAGGTCATCAGCAAACACAAGGGCGGAGCAAGTGTTGGTCACGGAAATATAGTGCAAGCTGAAGCTGACCTTGACTGGACTCGAAACAGCTGATGTCAGTGCTTCTGCTGTCTTTACTGGTAGGCCCGAGTTCCTTTTACTTCAGGCAATTAAGTATCCCTGACTTTTTCAGGTCTCGACTTCAGACAGACAATTCTGGCGCAACCTTTAAAGCTGAAAAATTCACCAACTACCCTTGCCCCGATGGCATGACCTCGGTCGCTTTCCTGTTTTTGAGGTCACTGATAGTGGAATGTTTTCTTCTAGCCTAGCGCATTAACTGACATAGTACTTTTGTATCATTAACACTTGGATGGCGCTCTCTACCGGTCACAGTTGTACATTCACTTTTTTTTTCAACCAATCACAGATGGTGCGCGCATTTTCCTTGAACTGACTTGGGGAAGGAGTGAGGGGGGGAGAACGAAGAAACTACATACATCTGGCCTGAGGGTCACTGTATCATTAACACTTGGATGGCGCTCTCTACCGGTCACAGTTGTACATTCACTTTCTTTTCAACCAATCACAGATGTGCGCGACATTTTCCTTGAACTGACTTGGGGAAGGAGTGAGGGGGGGGGAGAGAACGAAGAAACTACATACATCTGGCCTGAGGGTTTGCGTCCGAAGTCCTGTTTTACCAGATACTAGGACGAAATAGCGTCTGAAGCGTCTTTTTCCTTGGTGCGAATTTAAAGCATACAAATACTGCCGACTTTATTAGAACCAAAACAAATTCCTGACTGCTCGTCAACTGCTGCCCGTCGCTGCATAACATTACAAACAAATAAGAGAATACAATAACTTGAATTCATACGAAAAAAAAATCCATAGAAAACGACTATATCATAGCATATTGCAATGTGGACTAATCAATAGAGTAAGTAACCGAGGGAAGCATAAGCTGTAGAAAACGTTTAAGGCAAAGTAAGGCGAGGGGATTAATGTGTAAATCTAGGAGCTGGAGGTTACCAAGGCAACGTTAAGTTAACCATGTGCTCCAACTGTTTACATAGGTCGGGTTTCACTCGCAGTATATAGGCCGCCCCCAGAAAGCGGGGTATACGAGTTGTTCATGTTCGAAGAAGCACTCAAAAAATTTTTTGTGGCCTACAGAGTGACCCGTATCAAGCAATTCCGTTTTCTTGTTTTAACAGCCATCTAGACAGGGGCTCTCTATATCTGTCTCTCGGTTGTCGCATTCACCCAATGTACTTGCATCCGCAAGTGCATGTAAATTCTTACACACAGTTTGAAGTCGCATGCACTGGCAAGGCATCCTTTTTGCGTGTAGAATTGGTAGGGGCTTTGTAGGATTGCAACCATGAGATTGGTAGCATTGTAAGTCTTTTCAATGGTACAACGTAGGCGTCGCTTGATAGTATTTAAAATGTTGTCAATCTATAGAGGGTAGAGATATAAAAAAACGTATTGCCCCAGCGATCACATCTGCTGTCTTGGCAGTCGGGATTTTCGGTCACAATGCTAGTGTTACCCTGGAACATAGAGTCCCCGTGCGTACTAGGGAATTGCTGCCAATTCTTTCTTTGGGGCTAGCTTTCGAAGAATGTCCTTGCGTTTCTCGTTGCCTACGGACGCACCAGGTTGTCCGTGTGGAGGCTAATAGGGGACCAAATCGCCCTCATCGTCATCATCATTGGTCACTTTAAGGACTGACCTTCACCATGACACGTGAGTAGTGATTTGAGTGTTACCCACGCAAGAGGCACAATCAGCCGAAGGACC